GAGGAAAGGAGCAAAAAAGGTTGCAAAAAAGAGGGATTAACCCCCCCGCCCGCAGAAGGGGGGGTCCCCCTTTGCAGCGAGGCTGAATTAAGGCACGCGTGGGAAAAAGGAGCCGTGCGTCCGCCAAGGGCGGGCTCCCCTAATCCATCGTTCTTTTCCCAGATGCATGCTGGCTGGGGAATTCTGGGAGTTGAAGTCCACCCATCTTAAAGTGGCTGCGGTTGAGAAACGCCTCCCCCAAGCATGGCTTCAGCCTGAAGCGCTTCACAGTCTCCGCAGGTCTTATGGCGGGTGGGCGAATCTCACCCACGCGCTGATTTATTTTTTGGGCCAGTGTGGTTGGGTTTACCCAGCACGCCAACCTGGGGCTAAGCGGTGTTAACCGAATTGTCTGGCGTGAAAATTGGCTTTTCCGCTGGGAAGATCAGCCTGGTTTTCCCTCTGGAAGCTGTTTTGAACAAATCTGGATTGATTCCCCTTTTTCCCCATTGGCCTCAGGTCCCGAGCGTGCCATGACCTCACAGCTCAAGAGAGGAAAAGCGGCGCGGATCTCAGAACGTCCAGCTGCGAACGAAAAGGAGATTCCGTTGGAGAGCGGCTTGGGTGAGAGATCTAAGGAAAACGTCCCCTTCAAAAACATTTTTCCTTGCAAATTATTTGTATTAAATATTTATTAAATTGTAACACTTAATACACTTTGTAAAGATTTAATACATGCTTTTTTCCTTGGAAAAAAACCGAAAACTGCCACTCAGAATGATCAAGAACTCCCTTTTGCCCCCTCCCCAAGAATAAAACACTTTTGAACCATATTTGTTTTTTTGCCCAGAGTTTCCCGATGTAATAATAAAAGTGGAACAAGAAGAGGAGCAGTGGCTGTCAGTAAAAAATGAACAAGAAAGGAAAGTGTTGGTCTCATCTCTCCAAGAAAACGAAACTACAGTTGATGCCGCTTTGGGTAAGAAGCAAAGTCTGATTCTCCCTTTTGACTCATTGCAAAGGCAACTGTCTCTTTTGTATAAGTGAGCAAAGAGGCAAGCTGGGACTTTAGCTTTACTCTTAAAGCAGTGTTCCCCAACCTTGGGAACTTTAAGATGTGGGGACTTCAACTCCCAGAATTCCTCAGTCCACACTTCCTAAAGTTCCCAAGGTTGAGAAACACTGCCTTAAAGTCTGTCTGGAACTGCTCTTGAAAATCAGAATCTTCAACCCCTGCAAAATTCCGTGGGGGAATTGCAGCTGAATGATCAGAATATTTTCTCCCAGTTCTGAGGAACCCTATAAACGAATCAGTGTATGAGGAAGGTAATTTCCCTGTGATACGTACAAAGCAATTTGTTGCAAAACACACAGTAGCATAGAAAAGAAAATGGAAAGGAAGCATTTGGTCCTGTATGGAAGGAAGATAGGTACTCCTCGGTTAACAACCATTTGTTCAGCAACTGTTTGAAGTTATGATGGTACTGAACAAATGGCCCCCAAAGTTATGGCCATTGCAGTGCTCCCATGATCAAAATTCGGGCACTTAGCAGCCCGCCTGCACTTATGACCGCAGGGGTGCTTCAGCACCCTCCACCTGCCTATTTCCTCCCCCCATCTCTGCCCTTTTGGTTGCCCTGTGCTCCGCCGCCCTTGCTGCCCCCCGGCTGACTTTCACTGTCTTCTTCCACTGCTGACGAGGCATGCCCAGCCTGGCCCAAAACTCCTTTTTATCTGAGTTCTTGAAGCAGAGGTAGACAATAACAGATTGGGGATCAGTTTGCTCTGGATTTTCCTTCAGTTAGTCTCCCTGCCAAAGTATTTTGTGATGAGATCAGTGCTTCTCAACCTTGGCAACTTGGCCAAGGTTGAGAGAGACTGGTCTAGATGCCTTGAATGCAGGCTGGGATAATCCAACTCAAGAGAAATAATTAGATGTTGAGAAAAGGTGATGTCCTGGAAACAAATGGAGATCAAGATATCATCCTAGACTTCTTTTTCTTGTGAAGCTTAGTATGGCAGTGGTGGCTAACGAGGCAAAACTACAGTTTGGAGCTCATCTTTCCTTAAACTCACCTGTGACCTTAGAAGATATTTATTGCTGCCTTAGTTCCCCCCATCTACAATATGGCAATAGTAATACTGAGTTTATCTACTGGATTGTTATAATAAAACCTTCAACAACCTGCTTTTGCTGGGGCTGTAACTCCTAGGAGACAACCACAGGAAATTCTAGTCCTAACAGATCAGCCCCACTATTTAGACCAGATCAAGAAATCAACTCCACATGAAGGCTAAAACTGTCTTTATTAATAATGACCATAGTAATACAATCTTGCAAGTCTGACTCTGCTTTACTTCCCCCCACCCCCCAATACTCATGTGAATTATGGAAGTGTCTGTCTGAGTCTTTTGTGCATGCCTTCTTGTTTTGGACTTAAGCCATGTTTTCTCCCTTATTGCTTTGGTAATAGATTTGGCCTATCTCTGTCAAGGTAATCTTTCTTAACATTCTACAGGTAGTCCTCAACTTATGACAGCAATTGGGACCGGAATTTCAGTTGCTAAGCGATGCAGTCATAAAGTGCAACTGCATCACTTAGCAACAGCAATCCCTGCAGTCCCGTTTGCCATTGTTCACCGAATCCCACAGTTGTTAGGTGAGGCAACTTCCTGCCAGCTTCCCACTATCAAAGTCAGTGGGGAAGCCAGCAGGAAGTTGCAAGTCCTGGGCTGGCAGGCAGGTTAGTGGCTGCTGTCGGGTGGGGGTGGCAGTAAGAGAGGGTGTGGGGGAGGGTCAGGGAGGGTGTGTGAGAGGCATGGCCCGAGGAGGGTGCGAGGGGGTGCGTGAGAGGTGTGGGTCGGGGAGGGTGCAAAGGTGCGCAAGTGGCATGGGTCAGGGAGGGTGCATGGGGGTGCAAGTGGCCAGTGTGGCATGAGTGCAGAGGGTCTGGGGTAGGCAGGTGGGGGAGACTTACCCCAACAACCTGCGACCTTCCCTACCACCTTCCCCATTTACTTTCTGGCGAAACTGGCAGGGAAGGTTGCAAATGGTGATCATGTGATTGTGGGGCACTGCAACCGGTCATAAGTGAGAACTGGTTGCCAAACACCCAGATCACGATCACATGACCAGAGAGATGCTGGGACAGGCAGAACTCTGAAGACTGGTCATAACCACCATTCGTTCAGTGCTGTCATAACTTCCAATGGTCGCTGAATGAATGGACGTAGGTCAAGGACTACCTGTCCATAACAAGAGGTCAGGAAAGAATGTTGTTGTAAGGGTTACAATGGGGCAATGTAGGGAGAAGCACTTTTGATGTTAGCAAATGCCTGATCGCTGTAAAATATGATTGTGTCATTTCTTTGAGCAGAGTTTCCTGCTGTGATAATAAAGAAGGAAGAAGATGAAGATCGGTGGGTGCTGTGTTACCAGGGTTCTGAAGGAAATGGAGGCTTCCCATCTGCCCATTCAGGTAAGATTTCTGTTTCACTGGATGGCTAGATCTTGAAACGATGCATCATTATGTCATCAGAAGGAAGGGAGAAGAAATGTCAGCTTCCAAGATTTCAGTGACAAAAATTATACAGAGAAGCAGCTCAACAGTTTTCACTGAATTTCCAGTACTTGGAATAAAAATTGCTTTTATCCCTGCCTGTCTTACTGTTAATGCAAGCTGAGGTCAAGATTGAAGGAGCATCACCCAAGTACATTATTTGTGCTTTTTCAAATGCGAAGACTACATGTAGGTGGTATTAGGCATTTCACCCTCAGAGAAGAACTAAAAGAGCAGCCTGATTCTTCAACTTCTGCATTAGTAGAATCCCATCTCATTCTATACATGGGCACACTTCACCCTTGAGAAGGACACACGCAGTTTTCTACTCTGTGCTGAAAGCCCTGACTGTAGGCTTTAAAAGAATATAACCATAATTTTCTTTTCCTCACACTACAGAGGGTAAAATGCATGTGATCCTTTGCTTATTCTCACATTGTGATTTTCTATTTATCCCACAGAAGAAGAGCTGACACGGAGCTACGTGGGAGGGAAGGAGAATAAATGTGCTGATTGTGGGAAAAGCTTCACGCAGAGGTCCAGCCTTGTCCGACATGAGAAGACACATACAGGAGAGAAGCCGTATCAGTGTTTGGAGTGTGGGAGAAGCTTCAGCCAGAGATCGATCTTGACCAGACATGAGAGAACCCATACAGGAGAGAAGCCATATAAATGTTCTCAGTGTGGGAAAAACTTCCGCCACAAATCAGCGCTTCTCAGGCATGAAAAGATGGAGGCTGGGGAGAGGCCCTATGAATGTTCACACTGTGGGAAGGGCTTTATTCAGAAATCAAACTTTCTCATCCACGAGAGAATCCACACTGGTGAGAAACCATACCTGTGCTCAGATTGTGGGAAAAGCTTTGTCCAAAGGTGGCATCTCCTTGTCCATGAGATGACACATAAGCAGGAGGCATCTCATGAGTGTTCAAGATGTGGGAAAAGATTCAATCACAGCTTAAGCCTTCTCATCCATGAAAGAAGCCACATGGGGGAGAAAATATATCAGTGCTCAGACTGTGGGAAAAACTTCACTCAGAGATCCAGCCTTGTTCGACATGAGAAAACTCACACAGGAGAGAAGCCGTATAAATGCACAGAATGTGGTAGAAGTTTTAGCCAGAGGTCTATCTTGACCAGACATGAGAGGACCCATACAGGAGAGAAGCCATATAAGTGTTCCGAATGTGGGAAAAGTTTCCGTCACAAATCAGCGCTCCTCAGGCATGAAAAGATGGAAGCGGGCGAAAGGCCTTATAAATGTGTGCACTGTGGAAAAGGTTTCATTCAACGGTCAAACTTCCTGATACACGAGAGAATCCATACTGGTGAAAAGCCCTATCAATGCACAGACTGTGGGAAACGTTTCCTTCAAAGGTCACACCTTCTCGTCCATGAGATGACTCATAAGGAAGAGGAACCCTATGAGTGTTCAAAATGTGGGAAGCAATTCCATCACAGCTTAAGCCTTGTGATCCACAGAAGAAGCCACACAAGAGAGAAACCATATCGTTGTTCCTCTGGTGGGAAAGGCTTTGTTGATAAATCGAGTTTTAGTAGACATGAAAAGTTACATCAAGGGGAGAAGCTGTATTCCTGCTCCAGCTGTGGGAAACACTTTAGTTATAGATCAGCTCTCCTCAGACACAAAAGACCTCAAGTGGGAAGGAAGCCATACTGGTTCTCTCCCTGTGGAAAATACATCATTCCAAAATTAAAGCTTCTTGCACCCAAGACGCCCCATAATGGACAAAACCTACACAGTTGTTCCCACTGTGGAAGAGGATACAGCCTGAAATACAAGCTTATCATACATGAGAGAGCCCATCTAACAAGAAAACCATATAAATGTTCAGTGTGTGGAAAAAGCTTCAGTCAGAAGTCCAATTTTATTGTGCATGAGAGGACCCACACGGGTGAAAAGCCACACAAGTGTGCTGACTGTGGAAAATTCTTCAGCCACTGGTGGAACCTCTTAAAACACCAGAAGACCCACACAGGAGAAAAGCCTTACAACTGTGGTGAGTGTGGGAAGAACTTCAGCAATAAATCAACTCTCGTCGTACACAAGAGGACCCACACCGGTGAAAAGCCATACCAATGCTCCATCTGCGCAAAAGGGTTCACCAGCAAATCCAGCCTTATCAAACACGAAAGGACCCACACGGGCGAGAGACCCCACATCTGTGCAGAATGTGGGAAAAGCTTCATCCAGAAATCAAACCTTCTAAGGCATGAGAAGACCCACAAAGGAAAGCAAGGGAATCAGTTCTCCAGTCGTGGGGAAAGTTCCAGGTTTCCCTTAACCCTGCCGAGAAACGCAGGAATCCATACAAAAGAAAAACCATATAAACGCATGTCCTGTGAGAAAACCGTCCTTGTGGTCCACAAGAGAAACCCTGCAGGGGAGAAACCGTATACATGTTTGGGTTAGGGTTAGGGTCAGGGTCATACTGGGGTCTAGACAGGCTTATTCTTTGATGAGGTGGGAAAAAAATGGAGACTGATTCTCAGTAGACATCATAGGGAATGCCTAGATTTCATAGGAAATGCCTAAACGCTGCCATCTGCATCTTCTGTTGTGTGATGAAACCCTTCCTAGACTGTATGGGCAGCCAGTGAGGTATCATTCCCATCTTAAGAGTGTTGGTCCATGGATATGCGAAGAAACACAATCTCCCTCATGTAGAGAATTACCACAGCAGGGAAAAGAAATCCCTGACATACATGTTTTGTACTTGCAGGGCATTCATGTACGGAGGAACAAACTATTCTCCAACAGCATGAAGGAGTACTGTGTGAATGCTTTATCTGTGTAATGTCTGGATCCACCACGGGGCTTATCCTTCATTCTGAATTTTGGACAGGATCTTAATACCTTCCTCAGTTACCTTTGTTTTGGCTTTCCTTCCTTAATTAAAGCATTTCAGAAAGAAAACACCAGGGCTGCTGCAAGGTCAGGTATCCCCATGGGAATGGGTGTTAGACAAAATTCACAAATGATCATATTTGATTTGGGTGGCTCAGTCCATCGATCCAGGTTGATGGAGGAAGGAACGGGGCAAAAAGAATGTTGGGGATGGAGGGATCCCATTCAGATTGAATTTAAGATCCTTTGGTTGAAGAGGACCCAACCTACGTTGGGGAAAGGGCGGGAATGGACAAAGGATTGAGATATTCAGTAGGTTTTTCCTTTCCTTGGTGATCTGTATCAGGAGTTTTGCCATGAAGGAGACATACAGACATCTCAGTCCAATCTTAACCTTTAATCCCATATTCAGAGAGACATCAATGCCACCCATGTCATAGTTTCAGCTCTCATGTTTTATGGGTTGCTAGAACTTTTGTTGTTACGACGACGATCTTATTCTAAAATGAGTAGATAGTTGCTATTATTGTTTCTCATTGTAGGCTGCACCAAGGCTCTTGTTATCGGGAGCCATAAGTATTGTTGATGAATAAACTTGAAAATATTTAACACTACTAAAAGAACATGTTTCTGGATTGTATGGCTTGAAAGTGTTCAAGGATAGTTTTCCCCCACTTGATGACCTTCAGATATGTTCCAGGTTTATCACCCCAAACATCAGCAAACAATGTATTTTTTTAAGGAATGGTTGCAATTTGTGAGGGGAGCAGTGAGCTCTTTTGGAAATATTAAGAATTGCTTTTAGATTCCAGGATAGCTTTTTTTCTTCCAGTTCTTAGAACAGTGTTTCTCAATCTCAGGAACTTTAAGAACTTCTAAGACTTCAACTCCCAGAATTCCCCACCCTACTGGGAAATTGTGTTGGGGCCAGTTGCATTTGGCACAATTCTAAATGTGCGAATTAAAATTCCGAATTTGAGAACGTGTTGCAAGCACTGTCACAAAATGGCTGTAAAAGTGGGTCTTACTGATTCACAACATGTCTGTGATGGTGAATGAGATTATGTGCCATCACATCATCGATTCTTAGGGACTACATTGATTTTCTCCATAATGATATGTCCCTAACCTGGCTTTTCAGGTTTTCCAATGGTACCCCCATTGCTGCTGTAACTGAGTCCACCTGCCTTGCTGCTGGTCCTCCTCCTCTTCTCGTTCCTTCCACCTTTCCCAGCATCAGAGCCTTCTCCAGAGGGTTGGGTCTTTGCATCATGTGATCCCCTTGATAAAGTCAAAAATCCTATGGCTGATAAACTCCCTGAATCCTGGTTTTTATGTTTCTGTATGTTTATGCATATGTGTACATACATACATGCATGCACACACCAGGGTTCAAGAGGCCTATTTGCAATGGGATTTTAAAAAATTTTCTCTTTAATTAGAAAACCTCTAGCAATTGTTCCCCAAATTCTTCTGATCTCAAAAATTATAACCCCTGGAAGATCAGCAGTGAGTTAAAAGAGAGTAACAGCTGCTGCTTGGAGAGATCAACAAGCAAATATGTGTGTGTGTGTGTTTATTTTATTTATTTATTTATTAAATTTTTCAACCACCCATCTCTCCCCAATGGGGGAACTCTGGGCAATTCACAACAAACATTAGAACATAAAATATATAAACACATAAAACCGTAATTTAAAACATTATATATATGTTGTGTGTGTGTGTGTATTTGCTCAATTAAGATAAAGACAGCTTTCATATCTCTCTCTCTCTCTCTCTCTATATATATATATATGTGTGTGTGTGTGTGTGTGTGTGTGTGTGTG